ATTACGAGGTCACGTAGCAGCTGGACCCGCCGGTGGGTCCGTAGGGTTTAAGGGGTTAGAGGCTTTTTTAAGCATTACTCAAAGAGTTATCCCTCTATGGTAACAGTAAAAAAGCAAATATAATATATATAATATAATAATCACTGTTTTTAATAGTAAGAGAAAGTATATAGAGTATTGAGCTTTCCTTTGAGCTTGCTTAGCTGAGGGCCTCTGTCATTCAGTCCATAATTATTCTCATGTAGGCGTATCTCTCCTCTGACCCAACACTAAGCTCTTCACAGTCATCTTCATGAAAACCTTTCTTTTTTTTAGAAGACTTGGAAGAGTGACTTTATCCAGTTCAGCTCAAATTAGATTAAATGACCTAAACAAACAAACAATTTATATCTTTACAAACAGGGTTTAAATGGAAAGATGTGACTCTGAGAAGGAATGAATTCAAAATTTGCAAGATTTAGTCCAGCATTAAGGCATGTATTGAACTGAAAATATCTATCAAAAGAGGAAAAATACAAATAAATGAGTTATTTCAACAGGTTCTAAATCAGCTATCTGCTCTACCTGCTGCTGAATGTGCGACTATAACTCTACTTCCAGTCTTTGAACCTTCTAAGTTCATCAGCAAGAAAATGGTGGAAGTTAGGAAAAATATTGTAGAAATATCCCTTTTTATGTTTCAACATTTGAAAAACTGATGTGACCAATGATTTACTGACTTTTAGACATTGGTGCAGCTTTTTTAATCAAATGTGTCCGATGCTCTCTGAAAGTCGGAGCTGCCAGAGCAGCAGCTGGTGGCCCCTAATCAGAATGACATGTGGACCAACTTTACATTTATAAAACTTGGATCTCTTTAGCTGCATGTACAATAATTTCTGGGGGTATGGGGGAGAAGGCAGATCTTCAGCAAATTTACAGAAATAAACTGAGATATAATATTAAGATGACAGAACATTTCTTACTTAAAAGCTTATATGTGTGACTTAATTTCTGTTTCTAGGTCTAGTGAGGTTGAACATGATTCACTATTTACAACAATAGAAGAAAAAAAATAAGTAATTATGTTCCCCTTTGATAAGAGAAATCAATTTGTGCAAAGATTGAAAATCAGCTCAACTAGTATTTATTTAAAACATATTCTTTTAAAACTGAAAGTCAAAAAGTTTAATTGGGATAATAGTTACTCTTTCCTGGTTTGATCATTTGGTGTAAAAAACCCAAAATCTGTCAGTACTTACAGAAGTTTGTTTGAAGCTTTGACCACTGGCAGCAGCCTGAGAAG